TGACATTCCGCATTGCAATATAATTAGACATACTGTGATGGTTTTAAAGCTGAGAAGTACAAACATCAAAAAACAGCCATTAGCTGAGCATTTTCCTGTTGATCACTTTTCATCTGTAGCCATATTATCACAGTAGTTGTCTGTACAGAGTAACAGCTAATGGTAGAATCCCAGGTCTCCTTCACATCAATATGGGAGATGTGGGAGACTGCCTAAATGCTGTATTGGTGTTATTGTACATTTGTGTTTCTCACAGGCAAGTTTCAGACACAGGACTCCTTGTTTTTCCAATTAATGTTTGTTCTTTACTCTACTCTTCATCTCAGGGCAGCTTCCTGGGGCCCATGTTCAGCCAGGAGGGTTAAGTTCATAGTTAGGGAGTAATAGGAATTACAGCTCTCTGAAGGAGCCAAAGGGTTTGCTGAGGTGTGGAGGGCAGAGGGGCTGCTGTAGTTAAAAGCTGAGCTACTCTCTTCCACTGAGCATAGCTGGGGTGTTCCCTTCAGCCTCTGGATGGTTGAGGAGGGCTCAAAAGGGGCTTAAACATAGAAGCTGTTGCTGTTGCTTCAAAGTTGGAATTTGGCAATCCTTCCCCTGCATGCTGTTGCCTTGCTCCCTGTCTGAGGCAGCTGTCACAGATGCCTTGTTTTGCTGCACAGCTCCTTTGAGCAACCTTTACCTAACTGTGGATTATTGAATATGGTAGTCTGGAAGGACTCTGGGCTGGGGTGCTCCCTGCCCTGATAGCTCAGACTGATTGGCCTGTGGCTTTGGGTGCAGGTGGCCTACGAACTACTTCAAGTGCAGCATCCAAATCTCAGCACTGCCCCTAAGCAGCAGTGGGGCTGGCTTCATGTCTTACCAGCGATAAAGAAGGTAGCAAGGCTGCTGGGGCTGGAACTGCCAGACCCCTGCTGGGCCATGCTCAGCCTGCCTTGTCCTATGGGCAATGACTTGCTTCCCGAAGAGGTGCTGCTATTGCCTGCCTTTCAGCTGCACCTCTTGCCTTCAGCTCTCACCTATTCAGAGCTTTGGAGCAGGATGGGTAAGCAAACACAAAACAACATAGCCTTAAAATGTCCACTGGGCTCAAACTCACCACCATGAGAATCATCCATAGCTGGTGTTCAGACTTAGTACATGAGAGCTGCCTTTCTTTTGACCGGTGCCCTGCCTGACCAGAAGTCACTTCAAATGAAGGTTTATTCTGAAGGTTGGTGTCTCCAACAAAACATTAGTTCTCTGACTCTATCTCATGGTTTGGGTTTGGATGTGGACTTGATAATCTAAGACTGTTTCAAGGCCAACAATGCAGGTAATTATGCAGTTCCAAAATATTAAAGCAATAAAAGGATTAATGTTATGATTTTTAAAATCATAATTATGATCTGTTCTGCAAATTGCTTTTAAAGCTTCCTTAATTCCCTGCTATTCTCTTCATTTTTATTTTTTTTTTCTTTCTTTTTTTTCCTTTCCTTTGTGGTTTAGGAGCAATTTGCTCCTACACCAACATGTAAATGTCTGCCTTTGACAAAAGTAAACTGCTGATCTGGTGCATAGATTTCAGCAGTGGTTGATTTTGATTCACTAGAGCTTGGAGGAATGATGACAGATGTTAGCTCCTGTAACGGAGACACTGCATAAAGCTGCTCTGAAATAGCGGTCAGATCTATACACTTGCTAATCAAGTCACAGTGAAAGTGCTGAACTTCTCACTCCTAAAGTGTATCAGGTTTGGTGCTAGACTTCTAATTGTACCATCAACTGGCATTTTCGCATTCTTTCAGGCCTTTATAGTACGAGACACTGGAAGGTAAAAAAGATCTTGTGGATTCCTTCTGGAAGGGAAAACAGACAGCGAATGTTTCTATTTTGAAGTGCCATGATCATGAGCAAAGCTGGGCACCCCTTATTTTCACAATGAGGTTTCATATGGAGCTGAAAGCTGGTTTTACGATGTTTAGTATATAGCATATCACGGTATTTACTGATATTTGTTGATTCAAAATATGTTTCTGATCCGTTTGCTTAAGTGGTAGATATTCCTGAGTGCTGTTAGCAGAGCTATCCCTAAGTCTCTGATGGTCAGAGCACTGACACGTCACACTTACACCCCATTGTTACCACACACTTACACCCCATTGTTACCAAAATTCTCAGTGTACATGCCAACAAAATGTACTGACTTTTACCAGTGTAATGAACTGCAATCCTATTTTTGGTGCCAGTACTGCTGGACTGCTGGCCACCTGAACCTCCTGCTATGCTTTGCACTGTCCTGCTTCTTCCTTCTGGTGCCTTGCCTGAACAGAAGTGACTTTGGTCCCAGTGCAGTTTTTGCTTCATCAGAGGAAAGGAGCATTTCCAAAGGGTAGTGCTAGGGTGAAGGTCCAATGTCCTGGAGTAAGGAGGGATGGCATCACCCGTTCTGCCCTCCCCAAAAAGTCAGAGCGCAGTAGCATCACTGCACGTGGTGATAACCCAACACTTGGCAGCAGGTTTTCTGCATTGCTGGGGGTCTCCAGCACCACAGGTTTTGCCTGGATCAAGTGTGGGCACATAATCATGTATCTGTCAAGTTAGCCAAGGCATAGGATGACATTTGTGCCAGCTTTATGCTTTTATGTTGGCTTTACCCTGGCTCTGGGAGGAGAGACGTTACCTGACCTGGCACAAAGTGTGAGCAGTAGAGGCAGTGATACCTCATCTGGCATAAAACCTGTCAGTACAAAATGAAGCCATCATTTTTCTTTATTTGAATTGGCAGTGCAAGTTCATTTTGGATCAACACTTTCATCATGTCTGGCAACATTTCCGACGGAGTATTAACAGCCCTAAAGCGGGATTTACTGAGTTGTGGGACCACAGACTTACTGTTTGAGCTTACTTTGATAAAAATACAGGGAGCTACTGGGTGGCAGTTTTTACCAGGTTTCAGAACGCTCTTACCCAAAGCGGTTTTCTAGTTAGGAACAATTTCCTCCCTGAGGCAATAAACACTCTCGAAATTCCTTTCTAACCAATAAACCCCTCCCCAATACAAAAAATCCATGGATTAAAGGTTCATATGTAACTTTTGACACACTCCCCCAAATGAAACCTTTTGTGTAAATGGGAAAAAGAATCCTTTTGTGGTGTAGAAAGTCAACAAAGCATAAATCACTATTTTGTTTGTTCTGTTGCTAGACATGCTGAACAAGAAACCAACACTGGACTTGTGAAATTCTCCTATTAATCCTACTGGAGTGATTATGTTCAATCCTCTAGGGACCATGAAAAATGTTTGAACATATTCCACTGACTAAAATGTAATATTTTCCTAATTACAGTAAGGAGGATGTTATGCGCTAGCTTGAATACTTGAATTAAATGACTTTATGTAACTTTTACCTTATTTTCCAAAAAGGATTTGAAAATGGAGTGATTTAAAAACATAACATAGCTTCCGAAGAGTAGAAGGCACTGGGTAGAAGTTTAGACTTTCAATACTTCTGTTTGCTAATGAATCCTCGTGGTAAACAAGCACTCTTACCCAGTTTCTGCAAAGCACTTGCCTTTTGTTTCAGACCTAACACACTTGGCTGAATGAGGTAACGCCTACATCTCCTAGGCCAGGAATGTATTCAGATTGGGAACCGAAACAGGGTAGGAGGATAATACCTGCTTTTTGGTAAACACAGGGTGAACTTCAGCTCAGCTTCCAGGTTACTGTGCTTGGAGGAAAGAATCAGGACTGCTTGTCTGAACACAAAAAAATCACTTCATCAGTTTAGAAACTGGTTCAAAGCTGCACATAGGTGTCCTTAAATGCATTCAAAACACATTATGTATACGTAGGTTTATGTTTAAAATTAAGAGTGTCTTATGACAAAATTGCATCAATTTAAGTGAGTCAGTTAAACACTACCCTGTTCTTAATACAAGTACTCATTTAAAATTCACTCATTTAGAAGCAGGTGCTGAAGCAGGTTTCCTGAGGTAGAGGCTGAAAGGACCCTGGTTCTGACCAAGTCATCACAACCCTCTGTCAAATAAGAAAGAACCCCTTTGGACAGTGATAATGAAAACAGATCTGTTTCACCAAAGAAAGCTCCTCTGCACTCCTGACATGACATTAGAATTCAGAGTAATTTTCTTTAGACATCAAGTCAGACAAACACAATTTTCAGAAGTACATTAAATAGTATTTATTGAGTTTGCAACTTCAGGGGCAAAGCTGTAATCTCAGTCCCACCTATTGACACACTGTGGCACTGAGCCCTCATGTTCTTTCACCCATTCAACAAATGAACAGTAACATGGAACATCATAAAGAGGGGGGTTAAAAAAAGAAACCAACCCTATACCCTCAGTTTTGAAAACAGGAAACAAACTGAAGTCTTGTTCTCATTCACAAGGACATTTGCCTTCTTGATTAAACACAGTATGTTTTTACAGAAGAACAGACTTGTCCTGCTGATGTTTGGGAGAAGGTATGGGATGGTTGATGTGAAAGAAAACAAAACTATGAGGAGCACTGAGAGCTCTTCCATAAGAGCACAGTGACAGCTGGATGGGTAATGCACACTTCAGACTGCAAAGAATTCCTCACAAGAAGGAGGGATGCTACCAAATATCCACTTGGGAAGAGCTCCTCTTCTTCTGAAGCCTTTGCGTCTGGGACTGATTCTGTGCGTGCATATGGTCAACAATCCATCGAAAGCCCACCTGTAAAATCTTATGGCAGAGGTTTTCATTTTCACCACGGTGACCCTTCTGCATAGTAAAAAAAGGCATCACACAATATACACAGATCCATATCTACAGAATAAATGGCAAAAGAGGAAATTAGATGCACTGACATTTATGTCCAAGCATTAACAAACAAGATCCCTTGTGTTGATTCAGGGGTTATTCACAGCTCATTTAGGCAAGTCCTTTTCTCTGCACATGGGTTCTCTTGTTTTGCGAATGAGAGCCAGCAGAATGTCTCACTGTAAGAAACAGACGCTTGCTCTCCCTCAAACCATGGTCATGACCTTCAGGGAGGCAGGCTGGAATCTCCTAATTTTCTTCTTGAGTGCCTTTGAAGCTTTGATGCGACAGATTTTGGGCACTGGAGGAAGAGGCTTGGAAGAGGCTTGAACAGCCCCTGATTGTCTGACTGAACCCTCAGGCCAAATCAGGTCACTTTCATCCCCCTCATCATAGTCAAGGGTAAGGCTGCTACTGTTACTGCTGCCATCCGAGTCACTTTCACTGGACTCACTGTCCCCAAAACGGTTGGTTGTGAAATCGCTGACCTCCCCTTCACTGGTCTCTGCGATGGTGGAGTGAAAGAGGGACGCACACTCTGCAGAGTACTCGGAGTGGTCTGACTCGCTTTTGGCATAAGCTCCGTGGCGCTGACTCTTGGAGCGAGCCCTCATACTGACAGTGCGCAGGACACCAGCTCTCCTCGCTGGCTGCCTTGGCACACCTGGGCCAAAGCTAGTAGAGAGGTTGGCCAGGTGAGCCTTGGCAGAGATCTCCACTGTGGACTGCCACTTGCGCTGCTTCTTCTTGTTGGCTGTGTCTGCACAACCTGCTTCAAGGGGATACAGTTCTGCATTGGCAGAAGTTCTGCACAGCTCTGGCCTGGATGGCACGGTGGGGAGCCTCACCTGCACAGGCAACAGGCTAGACTCTGAGCACGACCTGCCAGTCACATCACCAGAATACGAAGGTCTCCGCACGAGGCCCTTTGTTCCGTGTGGTCTTTGGTGCTGATTCCACTCAGCAGGCATCCTGGCAGACCCATGGGACCCTCTTGCCTTCTCCATGCCAAAGGCTTGCTTCCCAGGCCGTAGTACCTTTTCACTGTTCCTCCTCTTTATCTTCACTGCCTTTGTTTTGGAGCTGGCAAACTTGACCCGGACTTGGTGGGATTCTGCAGGGACAAACTGCGCATGAACAAACTCACTCCGTGCCACTCGCTCATGACCTCCGGCGTTAGCCAGTTTGGCATTGCCACACCTTTTGAAGGGCAGCTTTCTGGGTGGGACAGCTTTAGTGTTCCAAATGCCTGGGCTGGAGTCCTCTTGGCACAGCTGTGAGCTGGATGAACTGTGCTCCGTGCTGCTCTCCGTTGCTTCTGCCAGAGGAGAGCCCCTTGCTGCTGACTTGGCAGGGTAACAACTATTCACAGCTGATGGCTCTGTGTCAGGCCGAGTGGATGGCTGTTCTTCATTCACACAGTGCATGGTCTCCTGCTGCTTGGCACATTCCCCCTCCGGCACCTCTCTCTGAAGCTTGCCTTCAGCTTTGTTACTTTCCAGAGAACTCGCTTGTTTTTCCAGCTGGCTACTGCTGCTGTTAATTTTCACTCCACCAGCGCTGGGGGTTATAATGAGTCTCTGGTGCATTGTGGCTGGCTGGCTCTTTGTTGAAACCCACTCACTGGCATCAGCCCGATTGTTCCCCTTGCATCTCGTCAACTGCAGTAATTTATTGATGTAACCCCCTGGCTTGGCCTCAGTGGTTGGCCTAGTCCTAATCAAGCTGGGACCTGTCGCACTAGGCATGGGTTTGCTGGGAGGAGCGTGGAAGTCTGCTTCTGGGGATGTCCCCACCAGAGAGAAAAGGGGACTTTGTAAAGCCACTGCATGAAGGGGGCTTGGGTAGGGATACACATCAATGCCATTCTTGGAGACTAAGTCGTTCTGGAATTTAGGGTCCACGCTGAGCAAGTGCCTGTCTCCAGCATGGCACAGAGGCAACATGGATTTGGGATCTGTCTCTTTCTGAAATCTAGTGTCTGCTGGAATGAGTCTTTCCAAGTCACCTACACAGTGGATGAAAATAAACAACCTAATTAAATCAGAGACAATTACATTCAAACTGGCGTATGCTAAAAGCGCTATTTCAGAGCGATGTGCTAGCTTTTACTAAAATCAGTAGCATGAAGGAAGAAGATAGTTTCAGTCCTCCGAGACCGCTGAATTACTTCAAGGCTTTTATTCACCTGAGCATGACGGAGATGAGAATGCCTTTTAATGCCAATAATAAAACTCATGCCTTTGCAGGAAATTTAAATTGTGCTACTTGGATGAAAGTAAATCTCTGCATATACAAACGTTACAGAATGTCACAGACTAGCAGGAACTCAACCAACTAAACAAAAATAAGGAATTATTTCTATTCCTTAGCAGAGATAAAAGGTGAATCCAACAACCAGAAAGCCTGAAGCTGAATGTCATGTAAAATTATCCAGTACAACAGATACAGTTTCTGAACACAGTTTTAACAGGTTTTAATACCAGGATAGGATAAAGACTTTCTCTGGATATGTGTCTATAACTCAGATATTCCTGAGATTTCCAGCATGCAGAGTAAAAGCTTTTTTTTTTTTTTTTAGTTGGCTAAATTTGATTTCCAGCTTTTTCTCCAACCCTTTTATATCATGTGTCACGGAAAAATCTATAGTACTCAATCAGCTGCTGTAAGAGGACTTAAGCAGACACTAGATGGTAGTGTTTCTTAACCTCTTAAATGCTGGAAGCATAGTTGTTTATTCTTTTGCATTCTGATTTAGTAAGGCATTAGTACAGAGAAGCACCCAACCCAACATTAAGACTCTTGTGTCCCATAGGTCACAGTGATGTGATTCAACTTTTCATTACCCAAAACCTCCTAACTGGATTTCTCATTTTGTTTGATAACAACATTACCAGCCACATGCCTTTCTCAAGTAACTATTTTTTAGAGTATTTAACTCCAGAAATAAATAAGCAGAGGTTTTATTAAAAGGCAAAAAATCAGG